TACAGATGGGCTTTGGGTCTCCACTCTGCACTCCCCTTCATTCACATTGATATGATTTTTTGTTCTGGGTCTTTGATGCCTGATATCTGATCCCACTGACACCTTATGGCCACACAGGTGGTGTGCTTCTTCCATGTGGGCTCTGTTGCTTCTCAGCTAGATGGCCGCTTGTTTACCTTCAAGCCTTTAAGACCCCCAGATACTAAATCTTTTGATAGCTGGGCACCATCAGCTTTCTTCACCACATTTGCTATGTACCCATTTTGTCTTCAGTGATAGTATCAGGAAGTAGAGCATAACAGAATGCCAGATTATTAGAACAAAGTGTTCTTGCATTGACAGAGTACTTGAGTAGGAGCCCAATGCCCATCTACTACCTTAATACTTAACATATAAACATATGTACATAGATCTATTTCCCTATTATTATATATAAATATATTTACATATGTACATGCCTGCATTTAGACCTCTATAAATGCCCTTTGCCTCCTAGTTCTTTCCTCTATTTACTTTTACTTTTCTCTTGTCCTACTATCTTGTTCAGCTTTCATTCGGGTTTCAGTAATTCCTCTCGGTTACATTGCCCTTGATCAAACACTACCAGGAATCCTACGCCTTCCTCACCATTGATTTTAGATCACTGTTATTCCCTTGTCCCTAAGTTTGTTAATACCTACTTCCTTTCCCCACCTCCCCTCTCCCATGTCACCCCGGAACCATTGATCCCATTGTTTTCTCCTCCAGATTGTTTATCCAGCCTATCTTATCTAGATAGACAAACAGAGACACTAATAAGCACAAAAATAAGGCAGAGCAAACAAAACAACACAAAAACAAAAAACAACGAAACGACAGAAAAAAAAGAAAAGCCTATAAATAGTTCAAGGTCTGTTTGTTGACCTTTAGGAGTGTTTTTCAGTTGAGTCTGATGGGATGCCACACCCTGGCACCAAAGTCTATATTTGGTATTCCCTGGGGACTTCATTGCTTTGCTCCCCTTGCAGCTCTGTTGCATGCCCTTAGCGTTTTGCCCCTGGTTTGGTGGGGTCAGATCGGGCACAATTCCCACACTGTGCCTCCGGTATTGTCCCTCATAGCGATATGGGTCTGTGAGGGACATCTTGTCTCATGGCGGGGCCGGCCCTCTGGTCCTCTCAGTGCATTGGCTGCTCTGAGCAGGAGTACCAGCCTAGGGGCTTGGTGGGCAGGATGTGCTCCACTCTCTCTCCTTCTCTTCCTTTGCTCCTGTGTGCTCTGATCAGACACTCCCCTCTCCCTGAGTTGTAACTTCAGTGCTGACCTCTGAAGTGAATCCTTCTGTGGGGAGGGGGGTTGTCCACGTAGTTGGGATTAGGGCCAGCCCAGCAGACTAAATGAGACAATTTCTATTTTCACTTTCTAAACCATTATCTTTGGTGTTGATTACACAGTTAGAACTTTTTTTACTTATAGACCCTCTTCTAAAAAGTAAAATGTAAGGACACTAAAACTTTATGGCTTTGGTCAATTGGAAGTTAACATGTAGTATGCACTGGATTCCTTAATTCCTTTCTTTTCTGGTTCCTCTTTCCTGTCCAAATAAAGTTGGAGATAACTCTATTTCATTAAAGAATGTTGTTGAGATTTGGATCGGGATTGCATTACATTTATAGATCTCTTTGGGTAGTATTAATATGTTCACAGTGTTGCGCATTCCAATCCATGAGCATGGGATGTTTGTCCATTTCTATTTGTCCCATTGGTTTCATGATGTAGTGTTTTGTATTTTCCCTTGTGTAAAACTTTTACATCCCTGGTGGGCATTTTATTTTTTGTGGGATATTATAAATATTATTGTTTTCATTTCCTTTGTAGAGTTCCCCTTGCTACTGTAGAGGAACCCAAGTGATCTGTGTATGTTAATCTTGTACCTTGACACTTTGCTGAATCCGTCTATTAGTTCTAGTAACTTCCTTGTGGAGTGTCTAGGATTTTCTATGTATCATGTCATAGCATCTATCAGGAGCATTGTTTTCATTTTTCCTACCAACGTGGATGTTCTTTATTTTCCCTTTCTTTCCTTATTGCCCTGGCTAGGACCCCCAGTACAATACCGAGTAAGAGTAGTGGCAATGGCATGTCCTGTACAATTTCTGCAGCATCTCTGGTGGCTTTGCTTACCTCTACTCAACTGAACCCAGACCAAGCCAGTTACCATCAAGTCACTCTAACTCATGGTGGTCCCACATTCATCAGAGTAGAACTATGCTTCTGAAGTGCAATGAATTACTTAAAATGGCTCTTCTAACCACAGTCTCTGTAATTCCCACCAAATGATCCTTTCTCAACGATGCATATGGGTAAGAGAAGGTCAAGGAAGACACTGACAAGGTTCTGGTGTGAGTGATTGTTAACAGGGTTCATTGTGATTGCCACTCTGCTGGGCATAAAATGAACCATCTCAGAAGCAGAACGCGGGGATAGTACTACTAGGAAAAAAGAAGAGCCAGAAGTGAGGTGTGCCCTTTGGACATGAGATCCCTATGCATTGAACCCCCTTGATCTGGGCGACAGTTGTGACACCAGAGGAGTGGCAGAGCAGCAGCAACAGAGCCAGGAGCCAGACATGAGACAGAGTGATGGATGTCCCAGCCCACAAAGCAAGTAAAGGTTTGTTCTTTGGGGCAGGAAGCTGGCTTGTGAAGTGGAGTGCCCTTGGGCACTCAGTTAGCAGAGCTGCATTTGCTGACCCCCAGAGCTGAGTGCCTCTGGGGCTGAGACTTACAGCAGTGTGACATGCCCTTTGGGCATTTATTATCAGCCCTAAAAAATTTTTGTAACATTGCCTGAACATGACAGAGGCCAGGCCAATTGGCTGAACCCCAAGCATTTTTCACCTGAATTATAAGCTGCTAACTTCCCCCGGTGGCATAATGGTTACACATTGGGCTGCTAATTGTAGTTTGAAAGCATCAACTGCTCCACAGGAAAAAGAGAAAACTTACTGCTCCCATAAAGAATTACAGAGGCAGTTATACCCCATCTTTTAGAGTCTCTACAGAGCTGGAATCAAATCGATGGCAGTGAGTTTGTTGTTTTGTTGTTATTGTTGTTGTTGTTGTTCTGGTGTAACTTCCCTAGTAAACCCCATACTTGTGAACATCATCTGTGAGTCCTAAGTAGCCTTTGCAGTTAATCATCCAATCCAGCCACAGGAGTGTCACTGGCGAGACACTGGTGTCAGAAGAGAGGGAAATGGAATGGAGGGTGGAGGCATCTGTGACCTCTGTCCTGGGGCAAGCAGCCTTAGGAGCCAGAGGAGGTCTGACGTGGCCCCCACACTGTTTCCTCAACCTCAAACTTTTTCAAGGCTGTAATATTTCAGAAGTAAATCACTGTCATTCTTTCACGGCACCTCTGGGCAGGTTCTTGGTTAACAGTTGAATACTCAACTTTTTGTGGCACCCAGGGACTCCCCACCCACTTGAGACAACCAAAAAGATCACTCAAACCAAACCAAGCTCACGGTCATTGAGGCAATGCCCACTCCATAGGACCCTCCCGGGAAGGGGAGAATTGCCCCATGAGTTTCTGAGCCTGGAAATACTTGTGGGAGTAGCAAGCCCTTTCTTTCTCTGACGGAGGGGCTCAAGCTGCCCAACAACTGCCCTTGCAGCTAGCAGCCCAACCACTATGCTACCGAGGATCCAAGAGGCCACTAGATCCTGCCCAATATCATTACAGAAGCAAATTTGCCCCTGTTGAGAACCACTGCCCAAATCAGGTCTTTGTCCTGCTAATTTATAGATTTATTTTAAAAAGATGTACAGTGCAAGCAACCACGTCTGCCACATAAAATATAGGCATACTTTGCCTGACTGCACTTCACAGACACGGCATTTTTTACAAATGGAAAGGTTGTGGAGGTCGGGGTTGAGTAAGTCCACCAGCACCATTTCCCCAGCAGCATGCATTCACTTCTCTCTGTGCCCCCTTTGGGTCATTCTCACAATACTGCAGACTTTTTCATAGTGCTATTTCATACAGTAGACTATGGTCTCCTGTAAAAATAACATATGCACTGGCAGAAAAAAATCACATGATTTGTTTCATTGTGATATGAGCTTTATTGCAGTGGCCTGGAACCAAAATCCCAGTATCTCCAGGTATTCCTGTCCCTGATATGGAAATTGGAAAGGAGCTCCTTCATTTGGCTAAAGAAAAAATTCTCCAGTGTTAGGGGATATTAGGTTTAAAATCCAAAATTAATTGTGTTTTCTCTATAGCTATGTGGCTGCTTTTGGTTTTCTGCTACAAAATACAACAAAGTTTCTGTTTTCTGAAGGTTCCATTTATCATTCACTGACCTATGAATAACAGGTGCAAAGTAGCTACAGAGAGCAACACTGCTTTTAGTAAAGCAAATAGCAACACATTTCTAAGTTGTTCAGTAAGAGAAGGTGACACTCTCGTCACCTAATTGATCTAGGACACATCAAAGAATTGCAAAATAAAAGGATAACTTAGACTTCATGTTCTTAATCATGCAATTCAGCCTTTAGAAAATAGAAAACATTCTTTTCTTTCGGGTTATCTATAGCTAAGCTTTTTGTCATGCTGTTTAAACATGTGGATCCATGTTAAACAGTCGCCTCTTTCAACAACAAGCCTACCAATCAGAAGCCGTGTGCAGTTCTGAAAAGAAAAAACTATAAAACCCTCAGGTTTGGACACTGAAGAAGGTAGGCACGTTACCATAAAATTCACAGAAACCAAATCATTTATTGCAGTTCACTCTTTCCTTCCCAAGAAGAAAGGAACGTTCCCTGAACCGTGTTACCTAGATGAGGGAGCTTCCAAAAGTCCCGGGAAATGGACTTGTTAAGTGATAAGGGATCCCCACCGGAGCCCGACCCTTCTGAAGCCCCGTTGCAGAGGCTCTTGCTTCCTCTAGAGGCGCACACAGAAGAGCACCAGGTCGGAGCAAAACGGCACGCAGTCCTTTTCCCGTGACTCACCTATATGATAAAGCCCAATCCAATCGCTGGGGTCCACCTCCTCTTTAATGTCCCAGAAGATGATGAGGTGCTGGGCTTGCCCCAGTGTGTACTCGTACATGCTGGCCGTCAAGCTGGAGCGGCTCTCCGAAGTCACCAGGTCCGTGTCGCTGTTGGCCCGCTGGAGGGTCACGTTCTCTGGCATGGCGCTCTGGGCATCGAGGCTCTGGAGGTTCTCCGGGCTCAACGTGTAGCGCATCTGGGGGTTCCGGCGCCGCACAAAAAGCAGATGCTCCCGGGCTGAGCTAGCCATCGCGCCTGACTTTCTGCACCCGGCTTCCTACAAAGCTGCAAGACACAAACGGGCACAACGCATGAGTGCTACAACGAGGGGAGTCAGGTTTAGGCTTCCCAGACAGAAAGCCTTGAGAACTGTTTATTAACCCAACCTGACCCCCACGATAATCTTCTGTTGTCAAAATAAGACCCATTATTCTACTGTCAGTGGGTGATGTCAGGAGCCATTTCGATAGAATGAGGTCACATGAAGCTATCACACACCCGTGTTTCATGCAGCAAAGCTTCATCTTAACAACTGGAGAGAAGGGCGTTGTTCCTCTGCCATCTCCTACAGGTCTGTCCTGGCCCAAACACCACCACCCCTTCAAAAATGGCATCATGCTCTTCTTCCCAATACCCGGCCCTGCACATATACACACACACTTTTTTTTTCCTGTTGCAAACAAATTTTAAAACAGCAAGATAGAAGTACTTGGCACACACTATGCACAGTTGCAGAATCAGTGGATGGTGCAAACAATCAGCTGCTAACCCAAAGGCTGGAGGTTCGAGCCCACCCAGAGATTCCTCAGCAGAAGGGTAATCTGTTTCTGGGGGGAAAGAGCACAGCTGTCCTCTGGCACACACCTGGGGGCGCCATGATGCAGCATAGGCTCAACACACACCGGGTTGGTTTTTGTCTTGTATATGTGATTGAAATCTATGGTTGAGTACAAGTTGACTTGTTTAATTTCTCAGCTGAGAATGTAACTCACAAATTCCTTTTTCAAAAGCCTGCTCACCTGTCATCGTCTCGCTGAAACGCAGTGGCCATCGTTTTTAAAACTGCACCTGCAGCACAGAGGATTCATACCTCTTCCCTGCTTTACTCTTCGTTAGTGCAATGACGATGGTCTGATCTGCATATTGTACTTACTTTGTCAACTGCTATCTACCTCCCCCACCTGTTTTGTTTGCTACTTGATCTTCAGTGCCTAAGAACACACTAGATAGCCATTTTTAAAAGGTTAAATCCATGGTTGGGTTAAAAAAAAAGTGAGCGTGTTTTTCCTCCAATATTCCTTGGCGTGATTTACACCTGAGGGACCATTCTGGGCTCTGTCCTCTATCAGCCCAGATCTTCTGACTGGCCCACTCTATTACTGTCTAGATTCATGACTCCCCCTGGGCCTGGAGCGAGAGGAGCAAGGCCGTTGCTGTTGGAACTTAAAAGTCGAGCCCTAAATCCTGCTTTTTCCCTCCATGCCAGACTCAGAGGGATCCTTGCCAAGGCCTCTGCCCTTTAATGAACGCATTCAAGGTTCTATCTGTCAGGTCCTTCGAGTGTTACAATGAATCTCACTCTTATAAACTACCCTCTTTTAGAACTGTACAATTTACCGATGCCTTTATGCATTTAACGTTTGTTCAGCAGCCCTAGCACCGCACAGAGCGCCTGCAATGCACTTGAAAGCCAACCCTCACTTGGGTACTGAGAGTCAATCTGAGCTTACCTTTAAAACAACTAACCATTACAACTCACAACCTGGAAGACTGAGAGGAGAGAGGACGATAGGGGGTGAGTAGAATTCCCTAGTTCCTCCCAATACCACCCCCATCCATCCCGCAAGTACTCTGGGTGAAGAGAGAGAGCATTCTGCCATTGATAGAAAGCATAGTGCTTGCACGCATATTCCTTCAGGTAATTTCTTCCGGACGCTTTATTTCAAGTGATCAGTACTATCCTGCGGAGTAAAATAACTCATACTGGTGGTCAAGATATTCCAGATGAAAAGACTACAGATACCAATCAACATACAACCCTGCTTACTGCAAGTGAAGAGAACTTGAAGCAATTACTGATCAAGATCAAAGACTACAGCCTTCAGAATGGTTTACACCAGAATATGAAGAAGACGGCATTTCTTACAACTGTACAAATGAGCAATGGTATCCTGAGACCAGAAGAGCTGGATAGTGCCCAGCTACCACTAACAGTGAAACAAAATAGGTAGTCCCAGAAACACAGAGAAGAAAACTCAGAGTCTAAAAAAAGGTCTCAGGCCAGACACCTTTCACTTAAATGACAAATTGGCTCAGAAAATGCAAACCATCACCAGTGAATACCGTGCTCCTTTAAACACACACACACACACACACACACACACACACTATTGTTATTTTAGAAGGTCAACAATATAATCACTGAATTAATTAATGCTATATTTGGTTAGGGAGAAAGACGAGCCTTTCTACTCCCATGACGAGTTACCATTTCAGAAACGCACAGGGGTGGTTCAGCCGGTCCTGCAGGGTAGCTGAGTCAGAATGGACTCAATGGCAGTGAACTTCGTGTTTGTTTCATTTAGGAGCCCTGGTGATGGAGTGGTTACCAGTTAGGCTGCTAACTACAAGGTCAGCAGCTCAAAACCACCAGCCACTCCGTGGGGGAAAGAGAGGCTTTCCACTCCCATGAAGAGTTACAGTCTCAGAAAGCCGCAGACGCAGTTCTACCCTGCCCTACAGGATCACTGAGTCAGAACAACCTCAGTGGCAGTGAGCTTGTTTTGGTCTTGTCTGTTCTGGTTTGGTTTGGGTATTTTTGATGTGGGGTATCTCTCCAGGCCTGGGAGTACAAGGAAAAGAGCCCTTAGATATGGCAGACAGTTAACAAAAACAAAGTACTAATGACCAATTTATACATTAAGCATCACTAACAAACATGATTGGAATTCTAAAACCCTCCATACACCGATGACCTCGGATGACTACTGAACTGTATGAGTTCTGTGGACACTGCAGTGAACTGCAGAACCTGGAACACGAGGAAATATACTGAGGTGGGGAATGGTGGTTGATCAAATCAAGAATAATGGAATGCTATAACATTTTGGAAAAGCTAGGCATTTGGGACATCTTTGATTTCCACCTCATTGGGACTAGCCAGTCTTGTATCCACAGTTTTAAAAGAAATAGTTTTTGTAACATGAAGCTAGATGGTCACCATTCATCCAAAAGCCAAGATGGGAAGGCAAAGAGGGGATGGAAAGCTGAGTCGATGGAAACCAAACCAATAGAACAGAAGTTGTGAAAAAGCCTTGGGGGGTGGGGGGGGGAGGAGCTGATCCCAAGGGCTCAATGGAAAGTAAATGTCTCGAAAAGAATGATGGAATACATGTACTAATATGTCGGATACAAATGATGTATGGATTGTAGCAAGAGTTTAAGAGCCCCCAATAAAATGATCTAAAAAAAATGTTAAAATAGCAAAAAAAGAAAAAGAAATTATGAAAATGCCAAGAATGAAAAATATATCCAAAGTCAAGGAGCAATTTATAAAAATTGTTCAATGGAAATGTAATTTACTGGGCAAACTTTCAGCTAAAACATAATGAAGTATTAAAAAGCAAGTAAAAAACTAAAATTGATTCCTGCCTACCAAACGTACTAAACCGAAAGCTGGTGGCTCCTTGGCAAACCTCCCCCCCTCGTGAGCCTCAGCAGCTGCTAGATGCCCCCCCAGGGGGCACCACCCAGGGTGTGGAGCACTCCTCGAAAGGCACACAAGTAAAAAGCTCCTATTCTAATTCTGATTAGGTCTGCACTCTGCTGCTCGCTCCGATACCAGACACCTGCTTAAACAAAATTACTTTTCTTCCTGAGGTCAAGAGAGACTTAATTACTAAGCAAACTGGAAAATGCCAGAGTACACAACTTCATTTCCAACAGCAGCAGATTTTGTTTAGAAGATACAGGCGGTCCCTGATGACAATCACATTAAGCAAGTGTTTTTCTTTGAAGTATCTGTGCTAAAGAATCTGGAGGTGAGTGTCAACTTACTGAACCTCACATGAAGGACAAGGACTTGGAAACATTCATCATCAGATGGTTTTTTACAGAAAGGTATCCGAGGAATCTAAGCACCATCCTTGTTTACCTTTCAATGCATTTATGTACAAATTCCTAGTGTTTCTGACTATGCTAAAGGGAGAAACAAAGGGGGACAAGGCTGTACTGTCAAAAGACACGACCGTGAGCATGCTTCGCCTGCCATAAGCAGAGGGATGTGTGAAATCTAGAGAGACACAGCGAGCCCCGACACCCCCAGCAAGATGCATGGCATCCGAGACGAGGAAAGCCTGGACCGAATCCTCAGGAAAGATCCTTCCTGAGAGCATTTCCACTCGCTTACTGCTAAGAGAAAGCGTTTCCAGAATCATTTGTGTTCGTCATACCCAGCTCATACCTGTAAAATGATTAAGAAGTCTAGAAAACTGTTCGTCTGTACAAACTGTGGGGAAATGTTCCATGGCTTCAGGACACTTGTCAGAATGTCCAAGTTCCTGACAATGCCCCTTGTTATCTCTTCTGGGGTGGAGTATGAGACAATGCGATTGATTGTCCAGGTGATTGCCCATGAGGAAAAGTCTCCTTTCCCTGAATTCTTTGGTCAAAGAACGCTATAAAGCACACATTTGAGTAAGGAATGGACACAAATATACACAATGAGAGAAATCATTTTAAATTCCAAATTTTGCTCATTTAAAAAAGTGTGAGTTCAATAGTATTTTCAAGATGGTCATTAGTTTAAATCATTGAATGCATAGGATATTAAAAAGAAAAAACAAGATTTGATTTAACTCTTTTTTTCAGTTCTTTAAACAGACTAAGATTTCTTAAATTTAATTTCTCCTGGCAGATATGAATAGGAAATTCACAAATGAAAAATAAAATTTAAAGAACCAGTAAGTATAAAGGGGATTCAAAAAATTTGTGGGAAAATTCTATGATCTTTTCATTCCACTTTTTTATAAACTTTTTAAGGCCTTCTGTATATCAAAAAGCAAGTTAAAACAAAATGAGATCTAATTTTAAAAATATAAATACTCAGACAATGTGAAGACATTTGTTGTCAGGTATTCATATATATATGTCTATATAAATATTTCATAACAATTATATTTATATATAGTTGCTATGGAGTGTTAAAATATTTCTCTGTATTTATATCCATTCCTTTTCCAAATATTTTATAATACATATAAAACAAACTTTACTTGGTCCTCTAC